ACAGGAATAGACTAAATAGGTTACAGAGAATAATTGAAAGATTTTGAAATATTTTGCCGAATTTTTTTTGATTCTTTATATTTATCACAAATATCAGACACTTGGTCAACAAGATAAATAGAAAAGTGGAAGCGTAATAACAACATTTATCAAATTGGTCTCAGTAATAAAGCTAATGAATATATATGTTATTGCAAAAAACATTAAATGGAGGCGCGGGGTATCGATCCCCGTACCTCTCGCATGCTAAGCGAGCGCTCTACCATCTGAGCTACGCCCCCGTACACCACCTTCTTTATTGTAAACAAGCACAACTTAACACAGACACAAGATCGTACAGTAAGTATAACATTTAAAATTTCCGCGAAAGAGACTAGAATAGACTGAAAAACAGAGAACGTTTGAAAGATTTTGAAATAATTTGACAAATTTTACTTGATTCTTTATATTTATGACAAATATCAGACACTTGTCACCAAAATGAATAGAAAGTGGAAGCATAATCACAACATTCCTTAAATTGATTACAGGCATAAAGTGAATAATATATATTTTATTGCAAAAAACATTAAATGGAGGCGCGCGGTATTGATCCCCGTACCTCTCGCATGCTAAGCGAGTGCTCTACCATCTGAGCTACGCCCCCGTACACCACCTCGTTTATTGTAAACAAGCACAACTTAACACAGACACAAGATCGTACAGTAAGTATAACATTTAAAATTTCTGTGAAAGAGACTAGAATAGACTGAAAAAGCACAGAGAACGTTTGAAAGATTTTGAAATAATTTGACGAATTTTACTTGATTCTTTATATTTATGACAAATATCAAACACTCTGTCACCAAAATGAATAGAAAGTGGAAGCATAATCACAACATTCCTTAAATTGATTACAGGCATAAAGTGAATAATATATATTTTATTGCAAAAAACGTTAAATGGAAGCGCAGAGTATCGATCCACGTACCTCTCGCATGCTAAGCGAGCGCTCGACGATCTGAACTACGCACCCGGACACGGTCTTCCTTATTGTAAACAAGCACAACTTAACACTCACACAAGATCGTACAGTAAATAAAACATTTAAAATTACTGCGGAAGAAACTAGAATGGACTGAATAGGCACAGAGAACGTTTAAAAGATTTTGAAATAATTTGCAGAATTTTACATGAATCTTAATATTTATCACAAATATCATACACTAGTTAACCAAGATGAATTGAAAAAGTGGAAGCATAATCACAAAATTAATCAAATTGGTTTCAGTAATAAATTTAATGAATATATATTTCATTGCAAAAAACGTTAAGTTTAGGCGCGGTGTATCTATCCCCGTATCTCTCGTACACTAAGCGAGCGCCCCACCATCTAAACTACGCCCCCATACACCACCTTATTTATTGTAAACAAGCACAACTTAACACTCACACAAGATCGTACTGTAAGTATAACATTTAAAAATTCGGCGGAAGAAACTAGAATTGGCTGAATAGGCACAGAGAACGTTTGAAAGATTTTGAAATATTTTGCCGAATTTTTTTTGATTCTTTATATTTATCACAAATATCAGACACTTGGTCACCAAGATAAATAGAAAGTGGAAGCATAATAAAAACATTTATCAAATTGGTTTCAGTATAAAGCTAATGAATATATATTTTATTGCAAAAAACGTTAAACGAAGGAGCGGGGTATCGATCCCCGTACCTTTCGCATGCTAAGCGAGCGCTCTACAATCTGAGATACGCCCCCGTACAACACCTTGTTTATTGTAAACAAGCACAACTTAACACTCACACAAGATCGTACAGTAAAGAAAACATTTAAAATTTCCGCGGAAGAAACTAGAATAGACAGAATAGGTCATAGAGAATAATTTAAAGATTTTGAAATAATTAAACGAATTTTATTCTTGATTCTTTATATTTATCACAAATATCAGACACTTGATCATCAAAATGAATAGAAAGTGGAAGCATAATCACAAAATTCATCAAATTAATTACAGCCATAAAGTGATTGAATATATATTTTATTGCAAAAAACGATAAATGGAGGCGCGGGGTATCAATACCCATACCTCTCGAGTGCTAAGCGAGCGCTCTACCATCAGAGCTACGCCCCCGTCCACCACCTTGTTTATTGTACACAAGCACAACTTAACACAGACACAAGATCGTACAGTAAGTATAACATTTAAAATTTCCTCGGAAGAAACTAGAATAGACTGAAAAAGCACAGAGAACGTTTCAAAGATTTTGAAATAATTTGACGAATTTTACTTGATTCTTTATATTTATCATAAATATACACTTGTTCACCAAGATAAATATAGAAAGTAGAAACATAATCAAAACATTTATCAAATTGGTTTTAGTATTAAAGCCAATGAATATATATTTTATTGCAAAAAATATTAAATTTAGGCACGGGATATAGATCCCCGTACCTCTCGCATGCTAAGCGAGCGCTCTACTATCTGAGATACGCCTCCGTCCACCACCTTGTTTATTGTAAACAAACACAACTTAACACTCACACAAGATCGTTCGGTAAATATAACATTTAAAATTTCCGCGAAAGAAACAAGAAAAGACTAAATAGGTCACAGAAAACAACTGAAAGATTTTGAAAAAATTTGACGAATTTTTTTTGATTCATTATACTTATCACAAATATCATACACTTGTTCACCAAGATAAATAGAAAGTGCAAGCATAATCACAACATTTATCAAATTGATTTCAGTAATAAAGCTAATGAATATATATTTTATTGCAAAGAACGTTAAACGAAGGCGCGGGGTATCGATCCCCGTACCTTTCGCATGCTAAGTGAGCGCTCTACCATCTGAGCTACGCCCCCGTACACCACCTTGTTTATTGTAAACAAGCACAACTTAACACTCACACAAGATCGTACAGTAAATAAATCATTTAAAATTTCCGCGGAAGAAACTAGAATAGACTGAATAGGCACAGAGAACGTTTGAAAGATTTTGAAATAATTTGCCGAAATTTACTTGATTCTTAATAATTATCAAAATATCACACTAATTCACCAAGATAAATAGAAAAGTGCAAGCATAATCACAACATTCTTTAAATTGATTACAGGCATAAAGTGAATAATATATATTTTATTGCAAAAAACATTAAATGGAGGCGCGGGGTATCGATCCCCGTACCTCTCGCATGCTAAGCGAGCGCTCTACCATCTGAGCTACGCCCCCGTACACCACCTTGTTTATTGTAAACAAGCAGAACTTAACACTCACACAAGATCGTACAGTAAATATACTATTTAAAATTTCCGCGGAAGAAACTACAGTAGACTGAATAAGTCACAGAGAACAATTGAAAGATTTTGAAATAATTTGACGAATTTTACTTGATTCCTTATATTTATATCACAAATATCAGACACTTGGTCACCAAGATGAATACAAAGTGGAAACATAATCAAAACATTTATCAAATTGGTTTCAGTATTAAAGAATGAATACATATTTTATTGCAAAAACGTTAAATGGAGGCGCGGTACCGATCCCCTGACCTCTCGCATGCTAAACGAGCACTCTACCATCTGAGCTACGCCCATGTACACCACCTTGTTTGTAAACACAAACACATCTTAACACTTACACAAGATCGTACGCTAACTATAACTTAAAATTTCTGCTAAATATACTAGAATAGACTGAATAGGCACAGAGAACGTTTGAAAGATTTTAAAATAATTTCCCGAATTTTACTTGATTCTTAATATTTATACAAATATACACTTCATCAACCAAATGAATAGAAAAGTGGAAGCATAATAGAACATTCATCAAATTGATTAAAGGATAAAAGTGAATAATATATATTTTATTGCAAAAAACATTAAATGAGCGCGGGTATCGATCCTTGTACCTCTCGCAAGCTAAGCGAGCGCTCTACCATCTGAGCTACGCCCCCGGACACCACCTCGTTTATTGTAAACAAGCACAACTTAATACTCACACTAGATAGTACAGTATATAAGTATAACATTTAAAATTCCCGAGGAAGAAACAAAAATAGACTGAATAGGTCACAGAGAACAATTGAAAGATTTTGAAATATTTCGACGAAATTTTTTTGATTCTTTATATTTATCACAAATATCAGACACTTGGTCACCAAGATAAATAGAAAGTGGAAGCGTAATAAAAACATTTATCAAATTGGTTTCAGTAATAAAGCTAATGAATATATGTTTTATTGCAAAAAAAATAATGGAGGCGCGGGTTATCGATACCCGTACCTCTCGCATGCCAAGCGAGCGCTCTACCATCTGAGCTACGCCCCCGTACACCACCTAGTTTATTGTAAACAAGTTAAAATTAACACAGACAAAAGATCATAGTAAGTATAACTTTAAAATTTCCGCGAAAGAACTAGAATGGCTGAAAAGCACAGAGAACGTTTGAAAGATTTTGAAATAATTTGACGAATTTTACTTGATTCATTATATTTATGACAAATATCAGACACTTGGTCACCAAAATGAATAGGAGAAGTGGAAGCATAATCACAATATTCCTCAAATTGATTACAGGCATAAAGTGAATAATATATATTTTATTGCTAAAAACTTTAAATGGAAGCGCGAGGTATCGATTCCCGAACCTCTCGAATTCTAAGCGAGCGCACTACAATCTGAGCCACGCCCCCGTTCACCACCTTGTTTTTTGTAAACAAGCACAACTTAACACTCACACAAGATCGTACAGTATATAAATATAACATTTAAAATTTCCGCGGAAGAAACTAGAATTGGCTGAATAATCACAGAGAACGTTTGAAAGATTTTGAAATATTTTGCCGAATTTTTTTTGATTCTTTATATTTATCACAAATATCAGACACTTGGTCACCAAGATAAATAGAAAATGGAAGCGTAATAAAAACATTTATCAAATTGGTTTCAGTAATAAAGCTAATGAATATATGTTTTATTGCTAAAAAAATAATGGAGGCGCGGGGTATCGATAACCGTACCTCTCGCATTCCAAGCGAGCGCTCTACCATCAGAGCTACGCCCCCGTACACCACCTCGTTTATTGTAAACAAGCACAACTTAACACATACACAAGATCGTACAGTAAGTATAACATTTAAAATTTCCGCGAAAGAGACTAGAATAGACTGAAAAAGCACAGAGAACGTTTGAAGATTTTGAAATAATTTGACGAATTTTACTTGATTCTTTATATTTATGACAAATATCAGACACTTGGTCACCAAAATGAATAGAAAAAGTGGAAGAATTATCACAACATTTCTCAAATTGATTACAGGCATAAAGTGAATAATATATATTTTATTGCTAAAAACTTTAAATGGAAGCGCGAGGTATCGATCCCCGAACCTCTCGAATTCTAAGCGAGCGCACTACAATCTGAGCCACGCCCCCGTTCACCACCTTGTTTTTTGTAAACAAGCACAACTTAACACTCACACAAGATCGTACAGTATGTAAATATAACATTTAAAATTTCCGCGGAAGAAACTAGAATTGGCTGAATAATCACAGAAACCGTTTAAAAGATTTTGAAATATTTTGCCGAATTTTTTTTTGATTCTTTATATTTATCACAAATATCAGACACTTGGTCACCAAGATAAATAGAAAATGGAAGCGTAATAAAAACATTTATCAAATTGGTTTCAGTAATAAAGCTAATGAATATATGTTTTATTGCTAAAAAAATAAATGGAGGCGCGGGGTACGATAACCGTACCTCTCGCATTCCAAGCGAGCGCTCTACCATCTTAGCTACGCCCCCGTACACCACCTTGTTTATTGTAAACAAGTTAAAATTAACACAGACAAAAGATCGTACAGTAAGTATAACTTTTAAAATTTCCGCGAAAGAGACTAGAATAGACTGAAAAAGCACAGAGAACATTTGAAAGATTTTGAAATAATTTGACGAATTTTACTTGATTCATTATATTTATGACAAATATCAGACACTTGGTCACCAAAATGAATAGGAGAAAAGTGGTAGCAGAATCACAATATTCCTCAAATTGATTACAGGCATAAAGTGAATAATATATATTTTATTGCTAAAAAAGTTAAATGGAAGGGCGGGGTATCAATCCCCGTACCTCTCGCATGCTACGCGAGCGCTCTACCATCTGAGCTACGCCCCCGGACACGGTCTTCTTTATTGTAAACAAGCACAACTTAACACTCACACAAGATCGTACAGTAAGTATAACATTTAAAATTTCGGCGGAAGAAACTAGAATTGGCTGAATAGGAACAGAGAACGTTTGAAAGATTTTGAAATATTTTGAAAATTTTTTTTTGATTCTTTATATTTATCACAAATATCATACACTTGGTCACCAAGATAAATAGAAAGTGGAAGCATAATAATAACATTTATCAAATTGGTTTCAGTAATAAAGCTAATGAATATATATTTTATTGCAAAAAACGTTAAACGAAGGCGCGAGGTATCGATCCCCGTACCTTTCGCATGCTAAGCGAGCGCTCTACCATCTGAGCTACACCCCCGTACACCACCTTGTTTATTGTAAACAAGCAGAACTTAACACTCACACAAGATCGTATAGTAAATATAACATTTAAAATTTCCGCTGAAGAAACAAGAATAGACTGAATAGGTTACAGAGAATAATTGAAAGATTTTGAAATATTTTGCCGAATTTTTTTTGATTCTTTATATTTATCACAAATATCAGACACTTGGTCAACAAGATAAGTAGAAAAAGTGGAAGCGTAATAACAACATTTATCAAATTGGTTTCAGTAATAAAGCTAATGAATATACATGTTATTGCAAAAAACATTAAATGGAGGCGCGGGGTATCGATCCCCGTACCTCTCGCATGCTAAGCGAGCGCTCTACCATCTGAGCTACGCCCCCGTACACCACCTTCTTTATTGTAAACAAGCACAACTTAACACAGACACAAGATCGTACAGTAAGTATAACATTTAAAATTTCCGCGAAAGAGACTAGAATAGACTGAAAAAACAGAGAACGTTTGAAAGATTTTGAAATAATTTGACAAATTTTACTTGATTCTTTATATTTATGACAAATATCAGACACTTGTTCACCAAAAATGAATAGAAAGTGGAAGCATAATCACAAATTCCTTAAATTGATTACAGCATAAAGTGAATAATATATATTTTATTGCAAAAACATTAAAATGGAGGCGCGCGGTATTGATCCCCGTACCTCTCGCATGCTAAGCGAGTGCTCTACCAATCTGAGCTACGCCCCGTACACCACCTCGTTTATTGTAAACAAGCACAACTTAACACAGACACAAGATCGTACAGTAAGTATAACATTTAAAAATTTCTGTGAAAGAGACTAGAATAGACTGAAAAGACAGAGAACGTTTGAAAGATTTTGAAATAATTTGACGAATTTTACTTGATTCTTTATATTTATGACAAATATCAGACACTGTGTCACCAAAATGAATAGAAAGTGGAAGCATAATCACAACATTCCTTAAATTGATTACAGGCATAAAGTGAATAATATATATTTTATTGCAAAAAACGTTAAATGGAAGCGCAGAGTATCGATCCACGTACCTCTCGCATGCTAAGCGAGCGCTCGACGATCTGAACTACGCACCGACACGGTCTTCCTTATTGTAAACAAGCACAACTTAACACTCACACAAGATCGTACAGTAAATAAAACATTTAAAATTACTGCGGAAGAAACTAGAATGGACTGAATAGGCACAGAGAACGTTTAAAAGATTTGAAATAATTTGCAGAATTTTACATGAATCTTAATATTTATCACAAATATCATACACTAGTAAACCAAGATGAATTGAAAAAGTGGAAGCATAATCACAAAATTAATCAAATTGGTTTCAGTAATAAATTTAATGAATATATATTTCATTGCAAAAAACGTTAAGTTTAGGCGCGGTGTATCTATACCCGTACCTCTCGTACACTAAGCGAGCGCCCTACCATCTAAACTACGCCCCCATACACCACCTTATTTATTGTAAACAAGCACAACTTAACACTCACACAAGATCGTACTGTAAGTATAACATTTAAAAATTCGGCGGAAGAAACTAGAATTGGCTGAATAGGCACAGAGAACGTTTAAAAGATTTTGAAATATTTTGCCGAATTTTTTTTGATTCTTTATATTTATCACAAATATCAGACACTTGGTCACCAAGATAAATAGAAAGTGGAAGCATAATAAAAACATTTATCAAATTGGTTTCAGTATAAAGCTAATGAATATATATTTTATTGCAAAAAACGTTAAACGAAGGAGCGGGGTATCGATCCCCGTACCTTTCGCAGGCTAAGCGAGCGCTCTACAATCTGAGCTACGCCCCGTACAACACCTTGTTTATTGTAAACAAGCACAACTTAACACTCACACAAGATCGTACAGTAAATAAAACATTTAAAATTTCCGCGGAAGAAACTAGAATAGACTGAATAGGTCACAGAGAATAATTGAAAGATTTTGAAATAATTAAACGAATTTTACTCTTGATTCTTTATATTTATCACAAATATCAGACACTTGATCATCAAAATGAATAGAAAGTGGAAGCATAATCACAACATTCATCAAATTAATTACAGCCATAAAGTGATTGAATATATATTTTATTGCAAAAAACGATAAATGGAGGCGAGGGGTATCAATACCCATACCTCTCGAGTGCTAAGCGAGCGCTCTACCATCTGAGCTACGCCCCCGTCCACCACCTTGTTTATTGTACACAAGCACAACTTAACACAGACACAAGATCGTACAGTAAGTATAACATTTAAAATTTCCTCGGAAGAAACTAGAATAGACTGAAAAAGCACAGAGAACGTTTGAAAGATTTTGAAATAATTTGACGAATTTTACTTGATTCTTTATATTTATCATAAATATACACTTGTTCACCAAGATAAATATAGAAAGTAGAAACATAATCAAAACCTTTATCAAATTGGTTTTAGTATTAAAGCCAATGAATATATATTTTATTGCAAAAAACATTAAATTTAGGCACGGGATATAGATCCCCGTACCTCTCGCATGCTAAGCGAGCGCTCTACTATCTGAGATACGCCTCCGTCCACCACCTTGTTTATTGTAAACAAACACAACTTAACACTCACACAAGATCGTTCGGTAAATATAACATTTAAAATTTCCGCGAAAGAAACAAGAAAAGACTAAATAGGTCACAGAAAACAACTGAAAGATTTTGAAAAATTTGACGAATTTTTGATTCATTATACTTATCACAAATATCATACACTTGTTCACCAAGATAAATAAAAAGTGCAAGCATAATCACAACATTTATCAAATTGATTTCAGTAATAAAGCTAATGAATATATATTTTATTGCAAAGAACGTTAAACGAAGGCGCGGGGTATCGATCCCCGTACCTTTCGCATGCTAAGTGAGCGCTCTACCATCTGAGCTACGCCCCCGTACACCACCTTGTTTATTGTAAACAAGCACAACTTAACACTCACACAAGATCGTACAGTAAATAAATCATTTAAAATTTCCGCGGAAGAAACTAGAATAGACTGAATAGGCACAGAGAACGTTTGAAAGATTTTGAAATAATTTGCCGAAATTTACTTGATTCTTAATAATTATCAAAAATATCACACTAATTCACCAAGATAAATAGAAAAAGTGCAAGCATAATCACAACATTCTTTAAATTGATTACAGGCATAAAGTGAATAATATATATTTTATTGCAAAAAACATTAAATGGAGGCGCGGGGTATCGATCCCCGTACCTCTCGCATGCTAAGCGAGCGCTCTACCATCTGAGCTACGCCCCCGTACACCACCTTGTTTATTGTAAACAAGCAGAACTTAACACTCACACAAGATCGTACAGTAACTATAACATTTAAAATTTCCGCGGAAGAAACTACAGTAGACTGAATAAGTCACAGAGAACAATTGAAAGATTTTGAAATAATTTGACGAATTTTACTTGATTCCTTATATTTATATCACAAATATCAGAC